ATATTTCAAATCATCAGGCGATGTGCAGTTCCCAAGGCTCTCAGGACAATGAATGGGTTCATGGATGAAAACAAGTAGCAAAATGGGATCATGGATTAATCACCCAAATAATAAACTAATTCTTATTCACTTGACTTATTTTTTGCTATGTCAGGGATTGACCTCTCACATGTAAAGCTCATTCTGTCTCTGAGCTACCTGACTGGCCCCCATATAATGAGTTGTTTGTTTAAGTCTATCTTCAAACATTTAATTTTTATTTTATATTTTTCGTGCTGGGCTGGAGCGATAGCACAGCAGCGGTAGCGCGTTTGCCTTGCACGCAGCTAACATGGCTGACCCAAGTTCAATTCCTCCGCCCCTCTCGGAGAGCCCCGCAAGCTACCGAGAGTACCACCCATAGGACAAAGCCTGGCAAGCTACCTGTGACATACTGGATATGCCAAACACTGTAACAATAAGTCTTATGATGGAGACATTACTGGGCCCACTCGAGCAAATCGATGAACAACAGAAGGACAGTGACAGTGATTTTTCATGCCATTATTTACAAACTGTCAGATTCCATCCATGAACTATTCCAGCACCACACCTTCCACCCAGTTGTTTGCTTCCCTCCATCATTGTCCCAGTGTCCCTCACCCAACCACCCCCACCCCTGTGGTAAGCTTCTTACTGAAGACTTACTTTAGTTTCTGTTGCTTTAAAAAAAAAAACTAATTTTTTTCACTAATAAAAATTAAAAAAAATTTTTTTTAAAAACCTTTATTTAAACATGATGGTTTACAAAGTTGTTTAAATACAGTTGTTACAGGCTTTTGGTGTTCCAACATCAATCCCCTTCCTCCACCATTGGTCCCCATTTTTCGCAACCCCCACCCCAATGCCTACCTTTTTAGCAGGCACACAATCATTTGTTTTATTTTTTTGTTGTTGTTGTTACAACCAAATGGTTAAAGGAATTATCAAAAACACTTCACTAATTAAACAATGGAAATTACCACTTGCTGTATAATTTTTTTTACTGATAACTTGATTTTGCCCCAGTGACTATTTCTAGAAACTTTTGTATAATCTTCTTATATTTAAATGGCCTTTTGTGGTTTGGAAATGTTGCCTCTGCTTGTGTCTTGAAATATGGAGACCAGACCAAAAAGTAAATGATTGAAAGAACAAAATAAAAATACTTCACTAAGAGAAACATTTTGAAAAATGATATATCTTACCACAGGGTTGGTAAATCTTTGAGGATTTACGAAGCTATTCATCACTAGCTGAGCCATTTGTGTTATTGTTTTTGTTTATTAGGTTTAGTTGGCTTCTACATTACTGTCTCATCTAATTTGGTGTGTTTCTACTAGAATTTCCGTACTGTGGGATTTAGAGGTGTCCATACACTTCAGGATCTGTAGAACTGGGATGATTCTACAGATATTCGTAGTCAAGCCATGTAATTAGGCCATAAACTGTTGGTATGGGAGGAGCAGTGGTATGAGGATGTGGCCGCCACGGCTTTGGCAGGATAAGTACTTAATCTCCCCCCTCTCAAGGGCAACCCAGAGTTTTCAGCCAGGGGACTGGTATGTCCATGAATTCCAGCTGCTTGACTTGCACGGCCTCGAAGATTTAGATTATGAATCTGAAGAGCAGGGCTGGTGGGTGAGTGGACATGGTTGCTATGGGAGGTGGGCAAGTTTCTGTTATCTTTGAGAACTTGTTTGGAGATTCTAGCCAGAGAACACAGCTTCTCATATACCCTTGACTGAAGAATGGTTCGTCTCAATTTGGGGAAGGCTCTATTCTGTGTGTGCAACTTCATGAGGGATGCATGTGGAACCATAAGCATGGAAAGGGACACCCACCTAGCCAGCCAGATCAGCCAAATCAACCTGGCCATCCGTGGGGTGATAGACATTGAAGTCAGATCACCCTCACATCCTGTTTATGTTGCCTTTGGACATTTGTCAGTCCCCTATTCTGGTTTGTTTGTTTGTTTGTTTTATGAGACTGGTCCAACCTTCTTGGAAAACAAAAAAAAAAACTATGAATTGAGCTTCTATATGACTCAGAAATTCCTCCTCTGAGCATCTTCTCCAAGGGACCAAAAACTCAATTTAAAAAAGACAACTGAACTCCTATGCTTACAATAACCCAAATCTGGGAGTGACCCAAGTGTTCAAGGACAGATGACTGGATAAGGATACAAGGTGCATATACACAATAAAATGCTATTCAGCTTTAAGGGGGAAAAGTAAAATCATTGATTTTGCTTCTGTATAATTTTAAATAAAAAATTGTATTAAGGGGTGTCAAAAGATAGGTCAAAGGACCAAGTACACGGTTTGCATGCAGAAAACTCAGGTTTGATCTGTGGTTCTGCCTGGTCCCCCCATGTCTGCTAAGAGTGGCCCCTAAACACCACCAGGAGTGACCCCCACCAGACAAAAGCCACATTCTATTAGAATAAAAAGTAATAGGCTGAAGTAATACCATAGTGGGTAGGGCGTTTGCCTTGCACATGGCCAACCCAGGTTCAATCCCCAGCATCCCATATGGTTCCCCAAGCACTGCCAGGAGTAATTCCTGAACCGAAGCCAGGAGTAACCCCTGAGCATCACTGGGTGTGACCCAAAAAGCAAAAAAAAAAAGAATAAAAAGTAACAACTTAGAAATAAACATAGATCATTTTATGAAGGACCACAGAGGGAACAGGCCATAGAGAATGGAAAGGTAGAAAAAGCAACCAGGTGCTCAGATACCTGGCCCCTCCTCTGCCTCACTGCCACTTGCAGAAAGGGCTTCCACTTCTGACAAGCTGACCATTACAGAAGAAGAGCAAGGAAACATGGGAGTGCCTTCCATACTTTGCAATAAATGCTTTTGAATGGTATTGTTTTCCAAGTAGACCTTGGTGCATTATAATTCTGTAGAATCTATTGTGTGAATGCCACGTTAGACAAGTTCTCCCTGAAGTCCCTGAGTCCAAACCCCTGTGATTTGTCACCCACTATGAGTGATGGAGGATGCTAAAGAAAGAACATTTGCATGCTTAGGTCTGGACCCTCAGAGAAGGCCCCTACCACAGAGAAAAGTGTGCAGGCCCTGTAGTTACTATTCTGCTCATTACTAGATTAGGATGAAGTGAGCTCAACCTTCCCCAAGAGAGTCCTATAAACTAAGGACAACCTGAATGCTTCTGAGGAGAGCAACAGAGAAAGATTTCTCTTCCTGACAAATGCAAAATTTTCAAGTCTAAAAAGACTTGAGAATCTCTAAATGCTGCTAGGACAGAGTTAGTATAAGTTCAGTCTGGAGGGAGACGTGAGGGAGTAAAGGAATAAGGTCCAAAGCAGAGGGAAAGGGTTGGATTCAGTTGGAATGGGGATGGGACCCTCCCTGTTGTTAGAGAAGGGAAGGAGGAGAGAGGTACAAAGGTAAGTAAGAGAGAGATTTAAAGGGATAAAATTGAGGCAACTCAGCTTCTCCAAGAAACTGGAGATAAGCCACTGGCTTACTGCACGGAGGAATATCAGACAAGATGAAGAGCATTTGAACTAATTAACTAGATGAAAGTATCTGGGAGGGACATTCTTAGGTATTCTTCCCATTGCCCCTCAACTATCCTGTCTCAGATGAATCCTAATAAGGTTCATCTAAATGGATGCAGGCTTGGCAATAGAGAGAAGGCATGAAGGTGATTAACATGAGGGTGTGGAGGGCATGGTACCTGATCTAGATATGAAGAGAAATATTTGGCCATGGACAAAGATAGATTAGAGGAGGGTAGGGGATCCAACAGGAGTTCAAGGAGAACCAAGCATTGCAAAGAGCATGAGTAAAAAGTTGCATTTGGAAAGTAGACTATAAAGTAGATTATAACCAAGTCTTGGAAGAGTGTAAGAGGATGCCTGGTGCTCAGAAGTTATAGACATGAGAAGAGGCAGTTGAACTAAATCTGGTGGTAATCACAGCGGCAGTATGTTGGTTTTTTTTAATTTTTATTAGTGAGACACCATGAGGTACAGTTGTAGACATACAAACTTTTGTACTTGGGTTTCAATTATACAATGATCAAATACCCATCCCTCCACCAGTGCCCATTTCCCACCACCACGGATCCCAGTATCCCTCCCACCCCCCATCCCTCCCATCCCACCTTGCCTCTGTGGCAGGGCATTCCTTTTTGTTCTCTTTGTCCTATTGGGTATTGTGGTTTGCAAAAGAGGCAATGGGTGCAATGGGTAACAATCATGTTTGATCTATAGTCTACTTTCAGCATGCTTCTCCCATCTTGGGAGGATCTTCCCAACACCCTTTATTTGGTGCTCCCTTCTCTATCTGAGCTGCCTTTTCCCTCAGCATGTGTGGCTGGCCTCCAAGCCATGGAGTAAACCTCCTGTTACTCATCTGGGTTATTCTTGGGTGTTAGTCTCCTATTTTGTTACTTTATGTTTCCCAGATGAATGCAATCTTTCTAGGTCTGCCCCTCTCTTTCTGACTCATTTCACTTAGCATGATACTTTCCATGTAGTACCACTTGTATGTAAATTTCATGACTTCATCTTTTCTAAAAGCTACATAGTACTCCATTGTGTAGATGTACCAAAGTTTCTTTAACCAGTCATCTGTTCTCAGGCACTCAGGTTTTGTCCAGATTCTGGCTATTGTAAAGAATGCTGCAATGAACAAGTGTAGGTGTCACTTCGACTATACTTTTTGTGGAGGTGTGTTTTTAAAAAATGATAAAAGAACATTAACTTAGAATCTCATGGCAAGTACAGACCTGGACCTGAGATACCTGGAGCAAAGCAGAGTGAATAGATTCTTTGGGCACATGGGATCTCAGCGGGATCTCCGTTAGGGAAGGAGCAGGAAGGGTGTTTGGGGAAGCTGCAAAGTGTGAGGAAGCAGCAAGGCAGGGTGGTGGGCAGAAGGTTGTCTCTCTGTTGTTGTGTCCTTTTTCACAAGAATATAAATTCTTCCTGAAGAAGAATGAGAAGATGGAATTCCCCTTTGGGTCCCTGGAAACTATCAACTTTCGCCGACTCACCCCAGAGTCCCTGGTGGAGATTGAAAAGCAAATTGCTGCCAAGAAGGCTGCAAAGAAAGTTAAAAAGAAGTGCAAGGGGGAAAAGGATGAAGAAGAGAAGCCTCGGCCCCAGCTGGACTTGAAAGCCTGCAACCAGCTGCCCAAATTCTATGGGGAGCTCCCAGCTGAGTTGGTTGGCGAGCCTCTGGAGGATCTGGATCCCTTCTACAGAACATACAGGGTAAGGGCTACTGGCCAGAGGCAGGGCGCTGCCCTCAGCCCTGCAAAAGGAAGTCTCTACCCCCAGCCCTCCTTCTAGCCCCACCCAAAGAGTCTGTGTATGACCTGAGATGGGGAAGGCAGCTGGACTCAGTAAATGAAAAGTACGCCTCTGACTCACCTCTTTCCTCTTCCTTGGAATCTATGGTATTTATAGTGGGGGCTAATTAAACTCAAGTCCTTAAGTGCAGTGCACAGGCCAATGGCATTTGTAGAGGGAGGGAGCTGTTCCCTTGGACAAGTTCAGGCCTGGCATCTTCAGAAACATCCTATCTTTGCAAGAGCAAAGAGATCTTGAGTTGAGGAGGACAGAAATCTGGATTTAAATCAGTGGCCTTCAAAGAACACAATTTGGGAGAGTTGTGAGGTCCCCATAAAAACACCTATAGTGGATTAAGGATGTCAAATCTATTCTATAATACTCAGATATTATTAATATCTTTCATTATTGATGTCTTTCATAGAATGACATCAACAGGATCCAGCTACTGAAATGTATGCTCATATATTTCTCTTTTAAACATTTGAGAGTTTATAATATTATATAAGCAGGCATATATACACATGTGTGCATCATGTAGATACAAATATGCAAATGTTTTTTGAGTTACTCAGTGAAAATTTTTATGAGGATCCTGAAATAAAAACATTTGAGAATCTATTTTAAATGAGAACTGTTTCAGGACAATTGCCCTGTATGGATCTCATCTTAGTTTCTACACAGCTGAGAAAAAAAATATTGTGTGCATTTTAGGGAGTTGGGAGCAACAGAGTTCTGCCTTTTCAGATATGGTTTGTGACTCTCATGGGTCCTTCTGAAATGGACAGAGGGAGGACATGTGAAAAGGTATAAATGGGCAAACCTCAGAGACATTGAATAAAAAGCACATACCAAGACCAGAGACAATCCACTAATGGGAAGAGGAATCAAATTCAACTGTCATTCCACCCTCCTCTGCTGAGTCCTCCCACTGAGCACCATGCCTCTTCCCCTGCTTGGGATCAACCTTCTGTCTATCAAGTAGTCTCTGTAGCTTTCTGCAGCTCTGCAGAGATCCCAGCCATCTTCCAACCCTCCCCAGAAGACAACCCCACCCTCCACCACCCCCACCCCTGTGAATAAAGAGCTTTGATTCCCCACCCCCCACTCAAAAGTAGTCTCTGTAACTCATATGGCCATCCTGTGGCCTGGGGTCTTTCTGGGAGGTTGGGAATAAGACTATCAATAGCTGATCTTTGCCTCACTTTCAACCAATGCATGATTTCCATATCCCTCCCTCTTTCAGAGGAGTCCAATGGTGTCTCATATGCCAAAAGCACAAGGCTGGTGGGGCTGTGGGCATTTCACCAGACACCCACCTTCTCTTCATTTTATTTTAGACGTTCATGGTGCTGAACAAAGGGAGGACCATTTCCCGGTTTAGTGCCACTCGGGCCCTGTGGTTATTCAGTCCTTTCAACCTGATCAGAAGAACAGCCATCAAAGTGTCTGTCCACTCATATCCTTTGCACACTGGTACCAGAGCTGAATTTAATGAGTTAATTTAATTTAACAATTCTTCTGAGGTTCACAATAATTTTGTTAAAGGCTTTGTTTAAATTTGAAAACAAGAGGATCATTAAATCCAAAAAGAAACTGTCTGAGACTCATTCTTCCTTGATAGAGGAAGCAAAGACAGGTGGGTTTGGATTCCCCCTGTCTGGGCACACTGAAGGGTATGATATTAGAAACTCGTTCTCTTTATAAAAGGAGCTTTTCAGATATACCTGGGCACATGTTAACTTCTCAACTTGATCTTTTGTCCCCACGGTACAAAACTGGTATGAGGTTCTTTGGGTGTATGAGAGAATAGTTTAAGATGCCATGGAGGGATGGTACTCTATGCCCTAGTCATGCCGGGGAGCAGCTGCTTAATGAGCAAAAAGGCAACAATTCACAAAAGGCTGAGTGTCTCAATGAGACCACATTCATCAGGGAATATTCCAGCAGCACATTACTCCAAAACTACTATCCTGTGTAAAGCATCAGTTGTCTGGTCTCTGCCTCATGCCATCGAAGAGTGCAGACACTAGAGGCACACTGGCCCAGGGTTTCTTGTATGTAAAGTGCAAGAGGGAGTTTCAGAAACTGTCTTCAGCATTTTTTTCAAGGAAAGTCAAATGAATATAATAAAGTTGGCTTAGTTTCCAAGGATCTCCTCTGATTACTGCCCAGATGGGAAACTCCTAATGACAAATTCATCCCTGACACTGAGGAGGTTAATTTTTATGAACACACTTACATCTGCAGCCTGACAGATGATTGCCAGTGGGTCTTAGCTGGCCCACTTAAAGGAGATCTTGACCACATTCTTGGATCACTGGACAGCCCCCCATGAGCTGGGGAAGCCTGGCACAGAGTCATATTCTATATGATACCACCCTGCTTGATGAAGCCCTACTACATGCTCCTTTTACTGAGTTTTTTTTTATGACCGACAATTAGGGATGATTTTTTCTTATTTTAATCTTGCATTTTCTGATTCTGTTGAAGGGTATCTAATGATAATAATAGACCATATCTAATGATAATAATAAACTGTATTTATTTTCTAAATACCTCCTAACATCAGGACTGTCATAAATTTGGAAACCCTTGAAGAAAGTCTCAGCATCCCCATTTTTCAGACTTTGCTACTGGTCTGAAGAAACATTAAGTCAATTGTCCAAGGTGGCACAGCTAGTTAAGAGGTCCAGCTTGCATTCCTCTTTGGGCAGTACCAGCTATAAGGAAGCTGGCACTTCCACAAAAATGAATTAGAGTAATTTATTCTCTCTGTATGTCACCAAATATATGCAATTACATAAAAATTTCAAATAAAGAAAATCAGAAAATATACAAACTACTCTCCATGCATCCCAGTTGAATCATATCTTACCAAGTAAGAAACAGCTAATGAGAAGTAAAAGCTCTTTAAAGAACAAGTGACCGGTGAATATTCTTTTCATCTTAAGATTTTATGAGGAAATAATTGCTTGGTGGAGTCACAGCTGGACAGAAAAGCTTTTGAGTGTCTCCTTCTCACAAAAGTCTTCACTTATATATGTCAATCTCATGAACTTGGCAAATCCAGTCCTAAAAGATAAGACTTCAAAAGATGAAATTCTCCAGATCATTTTTTTCACCCAAATTATAATTCTAGTAAAATTGTTATATTTTCACAAGTAATGTGTACATAATATATCGCATTTCCTTTAAGGTCTAGTGGAATTTTAGATATGATTTTGATTTAGTCCTTGGGGTAACATTTCCCCCCCACCACCATGTAGAACATATTTCTTAATTTAATTGCAAGTCAAACACATTTTTTAATTTAATTGCAAGTCAACAGGATAATGTGGTTTAATTAGTAGAATTTCCCTTTTCAAAATAGATGTGTTCCTAAGTAACTGTAAAATAGGGCATATAAAAGGCATTTATAGACAACTAAAATAGATTTAAGTAGTTCTGCTCAAGTCGAAATTATGAAAGATGAGTGGTTTGCTCTTTCTGTAGGTCAAGCATATCCTCAGACTGTTTTTCTTGAGGGAGTAATAAGAAGCCTGCTAGACCCTCAGAAAACATCCAGGGGGAAAGACTTACCTTCAGATTATTCACACCAGCTTGTAGTCCCCATTTAGTTATCCCTGTCCACATGCCTTCCTTTGCAGTCTCTGTCCTTTCTAGTAATTTCTTGGCCTAACCACTTCCTTAGGGCTCTCTTGAGGCTTTTTAGTACCCTTAATTAGGGTTCAATCCTAATCTAATTTCACAATATAGTCCTTTCTTCTTATCCAGCATTTCACATTTCATCCCTGAGTCAGTTTTGTCCATTCCTGACCAGAACTCCATTTCCTCAGAATGACTGAGTTTATAGACCTTCCCTTAGCTTAAAAATTCTAGGAATATTCTCTTTGTCTTTTGGGATGAAAGAGATGTCTACTGAATAAAAATTTTAGCCATATTGAGTGATAGCACAGCGGTAGGCATTTGCCTTGCACGCAGTCAACATGGCCGACCCGAGTTCGATTCCTCCGCCTCTCGGAAAGCCCGGCAAGCTACCGAGAGTATCTCGCCCCCACGGCAGAGCCTGGCAAGCCACCCGTGATGTAGTCTATATGCCAAACACAGTAACAACAAAGTCTCCAATGGAGATATTACTGGGCCCGCTCGAGCAAATTGATGAACAACGGGAGGACAGTGACAGTGACAGTGATATTGTATAATGACATGAAGTCTTCGGAGCAAAAGGACAATTTGGAAAATAGATTTTGTTTCCTTCCATCTTGCTCTGTTGTTACCATACAGATCTGAGTTGCTATCTCAGTCCCATGGTTGACCAGTTGTATGACCTTAGAAACATGATTTAAACATTGTCAGTCTGGTTTTTCAGATACAAAATGCCAGTGAAAATATCCATCTATAGATTTTATAAGAGATTATTTCAGCAAAGCACTCAACTCAGGGTAGGCACTCAGCAAATGTTAGAGGTTATTATGTGACAAGATCACAACTATTCCTGGTTGAGCATTATGAATTTAAACATTCTAACCCAGGAAGACTTAAATGTATCAACTCTCAACTTTCCCTTAACATGGGTTTCTCAGGAGTTTCGGTTTATTTATTACTATCACTATTTTAACTAATTGTGTGTTGATGACCCGAACTGATGTTCCAGAGAAAGTTGAGTAAGTAGATTTGCTGTTAATTCTTCTGCCTTCACTTTCTGTTTTATTTCTCTTCACTTTTATTATTTTTTCCTGTTTGAGTAATTCTGAATCTGAGGGTCTACCTGACTTTGTAATGGTTAGATAGCTTCTCTATGGGCTTGCTGTTATAAGCACAGATAAGATTTTTAGCTTTGAAAAGGTATTGATTAGTGGTTATCAACTTTAGCTGAAAAGTGGAATCCCCTAAGTAGATTTTTAAAATATTAACATCTGGGTCACAGTCTCAAAGGGTCTAATTTTCTTGCTTGGGGATGATCTGGGCAGATGCTCCCCCACCTTCCTCCATATACACACATATCTGGCCTTGGGCATGAATAAAACGGGAAGGTCTTCTCTGAAAGAAAGTCAAGGGAAAAAAACGAGGTGGAACTAAGAATAAGTGGTTCTGGAACACATCCAGAAAATAACCCATAAATAAAGCTATTTAAGCATATGGCTCATATGCTTAAAAGTGACTTTAATTTTCTTTTTTTTTTAAATTTTTATTAGTGAGTCATCATGAGGTACAGTTGTAGACATACAAATTTTTGTGCTTGGGTTTCAATAATTATACAATGATCAAATACCCATCCCTCCACCAGTGCCCATTTCCCACCACCACGGATCCCAGTATCCCTCCCACCCCCCATCCCCCCTATCCCACCCAGCCTCTGTGGCAGGGCATTCCCTTTTGTTCTCTCTGTCCTATTGGGTGTTGTGGTTTGCAAAAGAGGCAATGGGTGACAATCATGTTTGGTCTATAGTCTACTTTCAGCATGCTTCTCCCATCCTGGGAGGAGCCTGGGATGATCCTATTTTCCTAGCAGATGGAACCTCTATAGTTTCAGAATGTAGGGTCTTTCCCAAAACATCCTGATCTTTGAGCAGGTTCCGTCATCCCAGATTAAATCTGATGTAGCACTGTAGCACTGTCCTCCCTTTGTTCATCGATTTGCTCGAGCGGGCCCAGTAACATCTCCATTGTGAGACTTGTTGTTACTGTGTTTGGCATATTGAATACGTCACAAGGAGATTGCCAGGCTTTGCAGTGCGGGCAAGATAATCTCAGTAGCTTGCCGGGCTCTCTGAGAGGGGATAGAGGAATCTAACCTGGCTTGGCTGGGCTGGCCATGAGCAAGGCAAACGCCCTACTGCTGTGCTATTGCTCCAGCCCAAATCTGATGTACCTTTAGTAAAATAATGGGAACCCTTTAAAAGTTATTTTTTCTGACTTTGACATGGTTGGGTATATGGGGGAGTTGGGTTTATTTTAATGTTAGTACTTGTCACAGTAGAAAATATGTTCAGGTAAGATGCTTGTCTTGTATGCAGCCAACCTAGGTTTGATCCCTCAACAGCCCATATCATCCCCCAAACCCTTCCAGGTCTGATCTCTGAGCACATAGCCAGAAGTTAGTCCTGAGAAACACCAAGTGTGGCCCAAGGACCAAAAAAATAAAAAAAATTTTAAAAAGGAAAAAATATTGAGATCCTCTTGGTTACTGCTTAAAAACATTTGATATATTTAACGTATATAATGTTTAAAATCTTAGCACTGTCACTGTCCTCCTGTTGTTCATCGATTTGCTCAAGTGGGCCCAGTAATCTCTCCATTTTGAGACTTGTTGTTACTGTGTTTGGCATATCGAATACGTCCCGGGTAGCTTGCCAGGTTTTGCCGTGCAGGCAAGATACTTTCGGTCGCTTGCTGGGCTCTCTGAGAGGGGTGGAGGAATCGAACCCGGCCCGGCTGGGCTGGCTGCGCGCAAGGCAAACACCCTACCGCTGTATTATCACTCCTGCCCAAAATCTTAGCAAAGTAGGAATAAAAGATAGTTATCATGCTCCAGTAAAGGATATCCTTTTAAAAGAAAGCAGCAGGCATCATACTTAACTTTGAAAACTGGAAAGCTTTATTTTTAAGATCAGAAGGGACAAAAGCAAAGATGTCAGTCTCATCAGTTTATCCAACCTAGTAAGAGATTCTAAGCAAAGTAATAAGACAAAGATCAGAAATAAAAGGAATAAGGAAAAGAAAAGACATGCCAAAGATGCCCTGTTTTATAGATGACTGTGTACATGAAATAACCCATATAATCTAGAGATGAGCCATTAAAATTATGTCATAGCAAGGTACAAATTAAATATAGATAAATCAGTTATAAATTAGCAATACTTTCTAAATACGTTCTAAAATACTTTCCAAAATACCAATAAAAATACTTTCCAAAATACCAATGATGCTATATTTTAAAATATCAAGTTCTTAAAATTAGATTATCAAGGTTCAAGTTATACATGTATATTTATATACATATAATTATATATATGTATGTATATATATAATTACTAGATTCAAAGTCCAATTATGTGAACTTCCCAGAATAAGTAATACATTGAAAGGGATCTGGTCAAAATGCCAATAGACTTTTTGGAATTATTTGACAAGGTGACTTTAAGACTTATATAAAGATGAAAAGAGGAAATTACAAGCATAGAACTTTTGAGGAAGAACAAGATGGGAAAAGATCACTTGTTCCACTGGGTGTTCAGGTTTACTCTCAAGTTTTAATAATGGAAACCGTGAGCTAATGTGTAGGAATGGAACAGACCAGGGGAAAGGAAGAGTCAGCCTGTAAACAAACCAATGCTCACAGAATTGGTGACAGAGTTGGCACTGTGGAATAGTGGGGAAAGAACATTTTTAATAAATAATGCTAAAGTATTAGTAACCTCAGTAGAAAAACTCGCACTGAACATTCAACTTTGTATCACACCTAAGAATCATTTCTAAGTTAATTCAGATCCAAATTTCTTTGCAAAAGACAAAGATAGAAGCCTTCAGAAGAAACAAATAATAAATCTCTAAGATGGATGAGGTCATAGAATATGTGCAATTTTATCCTTTTTATTTATTTTTTATTTTATTTTTTATTTTATTTTTTGTAGGAGTACTGCTATTTATTCAGTCACTGATGAGGCTGATTGAATTGTGCATGAACTCCGCCTTACTTTAATTTTTTCCATTTTTTATAATTTGATTTATTGAATCACCATGAGAGCAGTTACAAAGCTTTCGGGTTTAAGTCTTCGTCATACAATAAAACACCTGTACCTTCACCAGTGCCCACTATCCACCACCAAAATCCCCAGTATACCCCCATCCCACACCTCCCCCTACCTGAGGGGCAGATGATTTCCAAATTCTTTGATTACACTCAACATTTTGACACCACACCCACCATTATTATTTGGGATTTTACCCCAACACGCAGATCTGCCGAAAAGGCAACAGTAGACAATTTGTTTTCTATTACTGGTTATGAATAACATGATGCTGCGTGGCTGCAGTAGTGGACACACGATTTTGAAATTCCGAAATTTTAACAATTAAATCTGGAGGGATTTCTTGCCAAAACCTGCTAGGTTCCGAGATTTGTTCCTGAGTCTCTGGGATCATGGCCATTAAGCAGCTTGATCAGGAGCCAGAGAGGCCATTCATGGGCAGTGACTTGGGGTCTCGTTGGGATGGGGAGGAAAGGGCTGGCTCCACCACTATCCCTTGAGGCCCCGCGTGTCTCGCCACTGAGGGCCCAAACCTGACTGTCCAGTGGCCTCTGGAGGATGGTGGCCACCAGGCCGCTGGGGGAACAGGCCAAGGCACAAAACCCATTCCCACCTGGGGTAGCCCAGTGCCGGTAACCTACTGCAGGGACCAGACGCATTTCTGCCAAAAGCCGTTGGGTTTCAAGATTTGTTTGAGTCTCTGGGATCATGGCCATTAAGCAGCTTGATCAGGAGCCAGAGAGGCCGTTTGTGGGCGGTGATTTGGGGTTTCATTGGGATGGGGAGAAAAGGTCCATCACTCTACCCCCATCCCGTGAGGCCCTGCGCATCTCGTCACAGCGGGCCCAAACCTAACTGTCCAATGGCCTCTGGAAGATGGCAGCCACCGAGCCACCTAGGGGGATCAGGTAGAGGAACATCACCCTTTCCCCACTGGGGTGGCCCAGCAACAGTAACCTGCTGCGTAGTCCACACGCATTTCTGCCAAAAGCTGCTGGGTTTTGAGATTTATTTCTCAGTCTCTGGGATCATGGCCGTTAAGCAGTTCAATCAGGAACTAGAGAGGCCATGCCTCCAATTATATAGCTGAGCCAGAGGTGGTTTGTGGGTATGGCTCCCACATACCTAAATTTTTGGCCCTTTACTTTCTTGGTAAACTTTGCCCCAAGTTTTTGGGGTCTGGCCAAAGGCACAGCAACAATTTTGGGGCATCTGGAAGTCTGAAGGCGCCATCAGTCTGCTGATGTACTCGCCTCACAGGTACAGATTGACCTGCTGGCGGCACCATATCCCCTAATTTTATCCTTTTTTAAAAAAGAAATTTTAAAGTAAAAACGTTTTCTCTCAAAGGTAACAGTTATTTGGGGATCCTGGTTAAAAATGGAAGATATCATGCCAATAAAATGACAGCACGGGAATAAGAACAGTATAAATACATAAGAACAAAGAGGGAGAAAGGAAAGCGGAGAGGACAAAAGATGTCAAAACAATCTCAAAGACCAAAGTGGGTGGAGGACCAGGGATGACTCAGCAGATCTGAGCCTGTTAAACTTCAGTGCCTGCAGAGAGGGATAAAAGGAGGATTAGGGCATTTTTTCCCTCAAAAAATCCTAGTGACCCAAAAACTGTTGACATGCTACAATGAACAAAAATTGGGAGAAGGAAGAGGAAGGATGTGGGAGCCAAGTATGCTCACTTATTGCTGCTTTTGTAATAACAAAGAATTGAGTGTTCTCTAAAGTGGATATTTTATTTCCAAGGACTGGAAATAATTATATTTAACAACACAAAGGAAGCCCCAAAATATATTATTAATTACAATCAAATGACAGATGAAATCTATGGGGAATGAAAAGAGAATTACCAAAATTCAAGAGATTTTGTTTCAAGAGTGCAGTAAGGGCATTGTATCA